GGGACCACCTGCCAACGCTAAAAGCTGCTACAACGATGGGACCCAAACACCTCCATCACCTGCCCAGCACCTCGCAATCCTGGCTACTGCCTCCTGGCACAACGCACGAGTCCCACCTCTGCTGACACGGTCTCCAGGGCTGCTTTACCAAGCCGGCTACTGCTCTAGCGGAAAAGCCCTGAACACGTGAAGCCACTGTAGAAACCACAAAAATACCAAGCCCTGGCTTGCCAGCAAGTTTACAGACGCTGCTTCATGCCAGCGCCCGAGCTCAGGAGCTGTTACAGCGTGACAGAGCAGCCGTGGCAGTGCAGGCAAGCACAGCCTCACCACGTGGGACTGGGAACAACTCCAAGGCAGAGATCCCGCATTTCCTAGATTCACACTCTCTCCAGTTAAACTGGTTCAAGCCATACTTTGCCCCTTGCCTTGAAATTTCCATCACACAAACTCTTTAGCAGAGACCTCTGACACCAGATTGCAAAAGATTATTCACATTTTCTGATCAGCCAGCACTGTTTCTAGGAGGGAGGAAAGAACTTCTGTTTTGTTGATTATGTTTTCCTTTTTTTTTTTTTAATAAAGCACTTTTTGAAAAAGAAAAATCAAAACCTATCAATAACCTGCAGTAGCACCCCACTGATCAGACCGAGGACAGCTCTGCCACATCCCTCCCCCTCCCACATCTTTCCCCCATTCTCCAAAAATAGTATTTAATATACAGCAATAAACTCTGAGCAAGCCAGAGTCCCGGAAGACATGGACCTGCTTTCACCTCTCCTGTCCAGCCCAGCACCATTTCAGTGTGGTTGCTACTATACACCTGGGACAAATCCATTCGGATTCAAGGCAAAATGCCCGTGCCCCAGCCCCGCTGGGCACTGTGCAAAGCAGGGCTGCAGCATTAAGAGGCCGACTCATGTCATCGCATTTCCGAGCCTTCACAGCTTCAGCCTGGTGTTGTTTGTGCCACTGAGAATACCTGTCTGAGCCTATTTGGGACTAGCCAGTGAAGACAGACTGGTGGAACCAGGCTGACATTAAAAAAAAAAAAAAAAAGCCTCCTTGAACTGTATTAGACTTTGGCATTTGTTGTGGAGATGCAGAAGTGCCAGTAGGTAAATCAGCTCAGTGCTGGCTCAGCTCCCATTTCCCTTGGATTCTCAGCAAGGATATTTCCCTCCCTGCAACACAAGTGCAAGAAGCAGACAGATCTCTCCCACATTTGAGCACCAAACAGAGCCGGAACCACTTCATACTTCACAGCTGCTCAGAACCTGTCTCACATCAAGGGCTAAAGCTGCTCTGCTGGTCCTCTCCCTCCTCCTGCTGTTTTCCATCAAACGCAGGCCTGTTCAGCCCAGACTTCCCATAGCAAGACATTTCCCCAGCTGTTGCAATCCTATTTCAACTTAAAGGAGGGCCAAGGGACAAAGCATGCGTCTCTATCCCTTGTTCAGACCCCAACACTATGGGGCAAGCCCTCAGAGAGCAAGTTTGAGGGGCGAGACCCCCAAGCCACACTCTGCACCCAGAAGCTGTAGGTACCATCAGGCTACTGGTACCCAGCCATGACTCACTCAGCTCTGAACTGCACAGACACACCAGCACCAGACTGTCTGGAAGTTCTCCATCCTGCCTTTGGGAGATTTCTGGGGGAGACCAGACCTGAAGGAGCTCTTCCAGTTCTTCTATCCTCTGATAGGCTTTTCTTCCATTGACCTCAAGGGCTGGAACCAAAGATAATTGCTCACAGTTCTCTGCTTTAGCTGTGACCTCCAGAGCTGGCACCCAGGGACACTGAGACAGTCCTCAGCTGGTCACAAGGGCAGGGAATGCCTGTCCCATGGGGAAAAGCAAAAAAAAAAAAAACCAACTCAGAAGATTCTTAAAAAAAAGAAGCTTCTTCAAATAGACTTTTATTCAAAGCCTGAGACAAAGGCACCAAAAGAGAAGAGAATTCATTTGGCTTTCTGCTCACTGCCACACCTGGGATACTCAAAAGGGCCAGAGCTGTTGTGAGAGTCACACACACAGGAGGGGAAAACAGCCCAGCTTGAAGGTACAAAAGGAAGGTCTGTTGAAGAGTTAATTAATATAGGCTTTGGAACCACTACGCTGAGGCTGAATCTAGGCACAAAAAATGGTTGACAGTGTAATCTTCCCTTTATTAAGCAGAAGTTTCATTAAAGTTGCCTCACCTGGCCCTCTCTACACAACTGCTCAGCGAAGCAAGCCGGGGTCTGTTCTGATCCAGCTCCCCACACAGCTGCTGCACGCTCCATCTGCTGGCGGGGGACAATAAAGCACAAACGGGCTTGTTTCTAACCAGTCTCACATCTTGGACATTCCCTCAAACATCTGTACTGGAAAGCTACAGCTGACCCAACTTTCTTTCCCCAGTCAGGACCAAGTACCTCGTTACACCTCCTTACACCCTCCCAAGCTGCCGTGTGCTTTGTTTGAAGGCTCCTTCCGAGGCAAGGCTGTCAGGAGGGGATGGTCCAAGGAGGAACACCACTTATCACACCATAACAGGGTCAGGAACCCCCCAACTAGCCAGACACCAGCTTTGTAGTGACAAAGATGCATAAAACCAGAGGCAAAACAACTAAACTGAAGTTGTGAAGGATGAACTGTTCCTCCTCCCTATTCTTATTCAAATAAGACAAATTCATCCCAGCTGAGCAACTGGAACACAACAGATCATACTCTGCACAGCTTTGCCTTAGGGTGGCTGCTGGCACCAAATGGGCGCCCTGGCTGCCAGAAGAGACAGCGATAAACTATCCCACAGACTTGTCTCCCACTGCACACCTAAATGCACAGCCCTTTTCTCATGCTAGCTAAGGTGCAGAGTGAGTGCTGGGTGAGCCAAAAGAAGCCGAGCGATTCCTCGCTTCGAGGATGCTCAAATAAAATGCAAGCTGAAAGGCCTGGAGGAGAACAGCTCCTTACAGAGAAGCTTGCTTTCAAGCCCAGGTTCTTTGCCTAACAAATCAGTGTGGTTCATGCTTCTCAAAATTGATAAAGATCTAAACATCTCTGTGCTCCAGTTAGAGCAATCCCAAATGCGCTGGAGAATCTCTGCAGGCGCTGTCACCAAACAAAACAGAGCTCGTATTTCATAAGCTTTAAGTACTAGGATTTTAACAGCAGCTAGAAGATAAAGCACATGACTTCAGGGTTACCACCTTCTCGTCCTAAGGTTTGTTCTCAAGATCTGCTCTCTCTGAAAGCTGCCTTCTCCCTCCATTGTGGCAGGGACCCCCTTGCTTCTCTGAAACTGGCTGTTACCACTTGTGCAATTGGAGAGACGCTAATGAAGGTCCTACTGTTTGCTTTTTAGCTCACAGAATGAGAGTCAGGCCTGTAGCAGTGATGTATGCGATTGGAAAGGCAAGGTTCAGTGCCACTGCTGCAGAGAGCAGTGCTTCGACACCTCCCCCTGCTCCAGTTCTGGGGCTGGTGAGCTGACAGCTCTTATCACAGCTTGAGGGTTAGAAAGAAGCAAAAGCTTCAGCTGCTTGAGCCCAGCAGAGTAGAGAGGCTGCTCCTCCCCATTTCCTTTCCAGAAATAAGGGAATTCTGCTGACTCTTCTCAGGTCCAACAAAGGCTGAGCCACTGCAGGTGGCCAAACCCAAGGAGAAAGGGTAAGAAAACTCAGATCCAGGGAGAAGCAGAAGCAAGGAGGACACCATTCAGTGCCATTACTCCAGATAAAGAGAGTGTGCTTTTGAGAGCAGAGATAGCATGAGGTAAAGTGAGCCCAGAGCTCACCAGCATCAAAGCTGACCTGCAAGGATGCAACCCTGCCTGGAACAGATTCCGCTCCAGCACACAGAACATCTCCTTCCCGTCAGCCAGAAGTGCTCAACATGTCAGAGGCCAAGACCGTGGGAAAGCAGCTTCTCAGGGCCTGCAGCTCTGGACCGGCAGGCACAGCGAGGGCTTTCGCCCTGCTCAGCCTCTGTCAAGCAGGCACAGGCTCTGCATGTGGAAACAGAAACCTCTTACAGAAATACCCCTGGGGGAAGCAGGTGACCCTGTCTCTGGTGTTCTGCTCGCATCCAGATCTCTGGAGGGCAACAAATCACCTTGCTTTACAGTATTGAAACGTTGGACATCTGCCCCTTTGCTAGCCTTGCCAAGCTAACTGAGGACACCAACCAACTCCACTGCACTGCTCCCCTTGGCAGGCTGGCCTGGTCGCTCCGACTGGGAATGAGAGCTCACAGGGAGCATTCAAGAGGTTGCTCTGCTCTGTCCTACAGCACAAGTTGTCCTCAGTCGCAGGGCAGAGAGCTAACCGTTAGGAAGGTCAAGGAACAAGTCCAGAACCTCATCTCCAGGTCATCTGATTCTCAGTTTCTTCCGAAGGAGAGGTCACTGGCTAGAAAGGGCAAAACAAGGAAATGGGCTTAAAATGAAACCTCTGAAAAGGATATTAAAGAAAACAAAAGCCATAATCGATACAGAAAACAAGAGCATCTGATCAGATGCTAACGTCAGCCTCTCGCAGGCTACAGCAGAATCCCTCTGCGATGGATCTACCGTTACAATCGCCAGACTAGGAAAGTCTCTCCCAACTGGTGCAGCAAATCAGGCCGGATAAATCCCTCTGCTCTCGGCGCAGCTTGCAGTCTTAGGAGGGGAACGTCTCCACAGAGGCTGAGCGGCTAGCTGGAGCCTCGGGATCTCTGTGCAGGCAAGTAGCACACACCACATTGCACGCGTTCAGGGAGATGCTGAGCCGGGCTCCATCTTCCACAGCCGTTAGTTACCCAAAGGCACCACAACACTTCCACACTCCCAGACAAAACGTGTACCCAGGCCTGGTTTTAGGAGTTGCTTCCCTGCTTAAGGAACCGTTTTCTACCCAGCAAAGGTGGAGATCTTGCAGCACATGGCTTTCTCTCAGTGTGGGACATGGCCCAGGACTGGTAGCATCAGCTTTCAACAGCCCAACACACAGATAGCCAGGACTCTTGGATGCCCCAGGGAGGACTGGAGGCTGCAGATGGTGCGAAGGGGAAGGCGAGCGCCTCGCTGCTTGCTGGCAGGTGGAGGGTAAGCTCCCTCTTACCTGGACCTGCTATTCATTCCAAATGAATCATCACTTTTTTTTTTCTTTTTTTTTTTTTCCTTAAATTATGAACAATATGGAGAAATTGAAAGCAACCGTGTTTGGTCCAACTCCTTCCCTCCCAGCCCCTTGGCTGATGCTCTGTGGGGCTCGCTCTCACAACCGGCAGAGGCAGAAGAGGGTAGGAATGAAGACACCAAAGGCCACCAATATAGGAAACATGAGGCTGCTGTTGTCCGAGGCATAGGGGTTTGGTGTGCGTGGGCCTGACTGAACCCGGTTCTTATTTGCCTGTTTTTTAACACTGGAGCCATCATCATATTCATCTTCATCATCATCTTCCTCTTTTTTCTCCAGACCTGGGTGTGGCTGCAGCTTTGGAACATCTGTTGAACAAGACAAAAGGTTGCAAGGAGGCAGGATGTAACCTGGGAAATCACCCAGCTCACTCCCCTCCCCTCTTTCCAATCCAGCAGGAACACAGGCAACAGGGAACCTAACACCACACCAACTCCGCGGCCAGAGAACCCCAGAAAATTGAAGCATCCTCCCTCAGAGCGAGGTGATGCAAAAGCATCTAAAGAAGGTTACGGACCAAATCTTCAGCAGCACGTAGCAATCCCTGACAAACAGTAAAGCAGAATGAGGCTTTGGTCAGAAAGGTATCCTAAACCTCTCCTGTTCAGGAGCTAGAGGGACTCCAACTCTAGCACAGACTTACAAAGAGGATGATGGAAGAGCAAGGACTTTACTAGCATTCCCCACTACTGCTACCCAGAGAAACTGATATTTGGAAAAAAAACAAAAAAACCCCACTATCTCATCCTCGAGCTGAGAATGCAAAACAAAGCTCCAGGCAAGAAACGCTTAACTAGCGGCTAAAAGATCTCTGTAAATTACTTGTCTGCAGGGCTGCTGCAGACATCCAAGGCCAAGTGGAATTTTTCCATAGCTATAACCTAACACTGACCCTCCTCCAAACTGAAGCCCCGCACCAAACTGATTTTTCTTATTCCAAAAATGACACAGCTTTGTGCGGTTGGAGGAGTAGGAGGACACTACACACCTACTTCACTCTGCAACTGCACTCTGTGGGAACTTGCTGAGAGAGAAACAGTTTTGGCAGAGGTGGGTCAGCAAGAGCTATGATCTCATGGTCTGAGAAGCAACAGGCTGCTCTCCAAGGGGGAAGAGCCTTCTGGCTCAAAAACTGTTCTTACCTTCCACTGTTCCTTGCAGGATGTACAGAGCACAGATTTTTGGATTGTCATAATAGCCCTAGAGAAGGCAAAGAAGGAAATGAGTGCTGCAGCTTTCATGCAAGAAATATCCCCACCTACCATCCCCTCTCCTCCTCCAGCACAGAGCTGCATCACACGAACGGGGAAGAAGGGGAAAAGGAACATCGGGGCTCTAAACCGGAAAGCTTGTTACCTTTACAAACTCAATATGAAGCTTCCCCGTGAATGTGGAAACCTCTCCCTGGACACTGAGTTTCCCCTTTTTGATACTCATGGGAATGATCTCATCGTGAGCTGTGCTGTGTCCAACTCTGTCGAAAATGTCCAAGTCCTTCACCACCACATGGCCATTCAAGCGAACATCAAATACCTTCAGGGTGGAAGAAATGACAGACTGTCAGAATTAATTCACGCACAGGAGGGTTGAAAGGGGAACAGAACAGGAAAGGTCTCTGCTTGTTGTACACCCAGACCAGAACGCATTGCAGCCTGCACTGTCCCCTCCCTTGGGAAGGATTCGGAGCCCAAAACCAGCCAGTTAAAGACATCAAAGCATTAGCATTGCTTTCAAATACCCCAAATTCCACTCTCTCTCTTAAAATAACCTTTACTTCTGCTGTTCAGAACTGAGGGCAGCATACGTTTATTCTGGTTTATTCATACTTCTCTTTCACAACTTTCTTTACACCTCCTGGCAGAGGACCTGCTCCTACCACCCCAGGTTGGCTGCGGCACACCACACCCTAGGGAGTAAAGCCCTTGCTAAATAACAGCCTGCGGCAGAGGACAGAAGAGGAAACAAGCTGGTGAAGGACAGAGGGTTTGAAGGAGGTAAAATGTTGAACTGCTAACCACATCTGTGAATTCAAAGTGAAAGTCCTCTTCAGGGCTGTAATGACAAACCCCACGCAGCACCCGGGGAATCCCAGCAGAACCACATGAAGGAAGAGAAACCAAAGATGCCTCAGCCCTTCAGTTTAATCTGAGGCTGCTTTTTGCATCCATTCTGTAAGCCAGCCCTACCAGTTCTGTTCCCTGAAATACTTCTCTGGCAGGAAGGCAGCAAAGTGCTTAAGGAGCAGGGCTCTACAGAAGCTGATGTAGTCAGAGGAAAGGCAGACTAACAACACTTCTCTCCCAGTTTATCACAGGGCTTTGAGGTCTTCATGCTGCTGCTTCCCTGTCAGCTGAGGGATTTCAAAAGCGGGCAAGAATTATTCCTGTCCACGGAGTAATAAAGAGGGTTAAATGTACCTCTGTGTTCTTGGGATCAGTTTGAACCAGTATCAAGTCTTATATCTGTAAGAACTGTTCTGAGTATGTTATTTAACCCAGATCACTTCCCTGATTCAATCTGTGCAACACTTCCTCCAGCACAAGCATGCTGTCAGGAACAAGTGTTCAGGAAAAAAGCAAAACCACTTCTTCTCAAAGGCAGCACCACCTAAACAGACCATAAAATTCTAGTGCTAGTTATGTTTAGTCGCACATGCTTGTTTGAGTACTTTGTAATGCGATTTTCCAGGCCAACTGTATATCTGGAATGTGGAAGAGAGCTCGAAGTTTCAGAGCCCACAAGAGCTCTAGGAACTAAGTTAACCATTAGTGCCCTACTTCAGACCTTTCTCCGCCATGCAAAGCAGCAGAGGCAACCTGGACATACACAGTCTTAGGCAGGAACTCACATCAAAGAAACAAGCAAGGAGCCGTTGCTTACCTTCTGTTGAGACTGTGCAAAATAGACCTCAGCAAATTTCAACACCAGCACATAGTCACCTTCTTCTTTGATGGGAACTTCATAGCCAAAGGTTTCCTCATTGTAACGCTCGGTCTGGTACAGAATCTGATCTTCCGCATTGGACCTTAGGATTGGCAGCTTCATGCCGTAGTCAGAAGCTGGGTTTCAAACACAAAACAGTGAGAGGAGGGGTTAATTTCCAAGGCACACGGGAGAGACATTTTATATATTCTCGAAGTGCTAAACTCTCTAAATGACACTAGCTCTGGGCAGACCTGTCTCCCTTCCTTGCTCTCACCAGGAGGAGGCACTACTGGAGCAGAAGCAGAGGCAGTCAAAGCCCCAGGACCCAGGTCCTGCAGAAAACCAAGTCTGGACCCGCTGCAGTCTAAGACACAGTACGTTCACTCGCACAGCTTCAGAAAGAAGAGTTTGTTTCACAAACAGGGCACGGCGCCAAAGGACTTGGCCATTGACTCCTGCTTCAAAGGGGAAAACCACCTCAAATATTTTTACAACATCTTCAAATTACAAATTCCGAGCACAAAACCATCAGCATAGGACTGACTCGATTCATTCATGCCACAGATCTGAAGTTTGCAGTCGACGGCATCAAGTTTTAGAGACTCACTCTCCTCAAGTGGAAAAGCTGGGGAATGGGAGAAGGGTGAAAAGCATCAGACGTCTTACACAACCCTTTCCTCTCACCACAGCCACGCAACACTTGCCAGCTTGAAGACAGGAAGAAGGAAGCAAGAAACACACACGAGGGTTTCAAGCGCGCCATTAGCTGCACCAGATGTTCTTGCGGACACCCATCTGAAACGGGCGCTGTCTGCAGGCATCTGAACAGCCCTCGGAGAAAGGCCCAAGCAACATTCCCAAATGGGACAATAACCAAGAAAATAACTGAAATCATCAAATTTGCCACCTCTCAGTCATTATTTCACCACCTGTAGAGCAGCCCTCAAAAGACCTTAACTTAGAATCACAGAATACATTGGGTTGGAAGGGACCTTTAAAGGTCCCCAACTTCACTTTGACATTTTATTGGCTCAGGGTTACTGTACAAACGCAAACTGATGTGTGTCTCGACATCCAAATCAGGTAACGCCCAGGGAAGCAGGGGCAGGATGGAAGACTGTGGATACCACGCGCCCGCTGGCACGTCAGGCAGGAGATGCTGATCCAGACCAAGTTCTCTGCTGACACTTGTCACTTCCACCCCCATTTCCATGGGAACAGACACTGCATCGGCCAAGACAAAGCAAGAACTACCAACCCGGCACACGCTGCCAGAGCCAGAGCCAATGCAAACGAGCGAGAGGAAATTAATGCCAGTTCTCAGTCTCTTGTTTCACACAGAGCTACTCAGGCAGTCTTCTGCTTCTCTTTAGCACTCGGACCCAGGCGCAAAGGCTGAAGGCTCTAATCACCAGAAATAGAGAGGGTGAAAAGTTTAACCTGTCCTCCCACACAGATATTTCTGGCCAGCTACAGATTAGAGCGATAGCGAACCAAGGGCTCCACAGAAGTCAGCCCATGTTAGAGGACAGCCTGCATAGGAAGAAAGTCCTTTAATAGCCAAGAAAGTAAGCGGAGACCCATCACCTGCGTATCAGAGGTCTGTTGACATAGCTGTGGAAGTGAGCTCGATTTTACAGCTGAGAGGCAGCTCACCGAGAGCCAAGCAGCGAGCGTTAAGGTGCCACTCAACTCCGTTTGGCACCTGGCTATTCTGTAACTGCCATCAGCACATTTTGTCCTTTAGGACACAGCATTTGAACAGAAGCTTGGGGGAAAACAAATAAAGGTTTTAATTTGCCCCGAGGCAGTACAGCCCATAAAGTCGTTTGCTCCCAGTCAGCCACGTATTTCTGCTGTAGCCTATCGACACAGAGAGAAGCCCAGAGTAAACCGAACAATGGTGCAATAAAAGGCCATTGAGGGAAAAGCAGCTGAGAGCTCAAAGGGGTAAAGTCTCCTCCTCTGTGCCTGGCACTGCTGGCTGAAGCGGGATTACTGTAACAGCCCGCTGTTCAGAGGACACACCACAGGCTTTTCCCAAAAGAAGAGCACATCACAGTGTGCTTGAAAAAGACTTTTTCTTTTTTCTTTCCTCCTCAAAAATAAATCAAGTCCACAAGGGCATTCTCCTTCAAGTCACACATGCGAGAGGTCTGTGAAGAGAAGCTCACCTCCAGCCGGCGCCAGCTTCCGCAGAGGTGGAAAAAACTCCTGACAAACCATATTAGGATTTAAATATGACCTTTCCTGTCTCCCTGGTGCCCAAACGGCTCTGCATTCAGGACAGGATTCACGCAGGGAAAGCGACAGCAGTCCCAGCTGTACAACACAGGTCAGTCCTCACCGTTCTAAGTGGAAACGGCGAAGATTAAAAGCCAGAGAGATCATCTTCTGCACTTTCCACCTGTATCTGACAGCAGGAGCAGCTCAGCACAGCCGGCTTGTCAACCCCCTGGCGAACCAATGAAGTTTTTGCTGCAGAAACACGCAAGATCCGTACAACTGGAGGGGTTTCAAGGGGAAGTAGGAAAAGGTAACTCGAGTACTACTTCTCCATCCTGCCCTTGCTGGTAGATCTCGCCGTGGAAACGGGTTTTTCGATGGAAAAAAATTAAAATAAG